CTTGCCTTAACTTTGTCTTCGAGAAGTTCACCCACATCTCCCTCCTAGCTACTTCTAGCTGCAGGGCCAATGCAGTGGACGCTATGAACATTCCCTACGAGTCAGTCAAGAACAAACTCCGCGATCTGCCTCTTCTCGGGATGATTTGTTTGCCGGGAGATTTAATGATATCCTTGAGTCAGAAGTGAAGCGCATAGAAACCGCCAAGAAAATTTCACTCTGTGAACCCGCAGCCCCTCAGTTACAAAAACCACCTCCACCACCAAGACGGCGACCAAGCTCGTCCTCTTCCTCGGGCCGCCCCTTCAGCCATCCATTTTGACCAGCAGCCCGGTCTCCGAACCCCCGTCCAGCTCCACCTGCAGCTGCTTCCATGAGGTTCCGGCCACAACCCGCCGGCCGTAGGTTCACGCCCCGTGTTACAGACAGAATTTGGACTTGTAACAAGTTTAATTGTTAGCCATGTGGGCACTGTAATTTGTTGCCTGAGGATGCTATACTTTGGTTGCCTGGGGGTGCTGTCATTTTGGGGTGTGGTTCATTCGGTATGCAAGAGTACATCCATTGTACACATATTTAGTCACTCCTGTGGGTAGACATGCTTTGACCACTTCTATGTTAACATGCCTTGCTACTCCTATGTAGATATACATACAAGTAATTTGCCAACAGATTGACATCCTTGGAAGCTCAGCAAAAGTAAGCTTTTCATTATTATTTTTTATTGTAATAGATTTCACATTTTGAAGAACTTTAGTTAATATTTGCAACTGCAGTTTAACCTTTTGAGGGTTTCCCTAGGCCCTATTGACATGTACATGCAATTGTCTTTATCACTGATTGATAGATTTGGAGAGAGTTCCATATATGGAGTTTATTTGACGCCCTGTGTGCAAGCCCTATCAGACTGGTCTGTGAAATTACACCTTGTGACAGAAGTCATACCATTGTGGGTGAAATTAAACAGGACAACTGAAGCACGAGTATAAACTGAGCTATAACGCTGTTTGTTTACTATAACTTTGGCGGTTACACCCTGTGCCCCTGGTCCCTTCGGGAGGCGGCGCTGGTGACTATTCTCCTTCACCTTTGACGACCACCGATCCCAAACCCATCGGCGGCCATCTGGGCAATTTCTGGCTGAAATCACCACAGACAGCTGGGTCCTCGCCACCATCGCCCCCGGCTACACCCTCAAATTCACGAGCTCCCCGCCGTCCGAGATGGTCTTTCGCTCCACTCCTCCTCCATACGACAATTCCAGGCGACTGGCTCTGGAGGAGGATATTTCAACGTTACTACACAAACAAGCCACTATATTGGTACACTCAAGTCAACTGTCCACCGGCTTCCTTTCGACACCCAAGAAAGAGTCCGGAAGTGGCGACCAATAATTAACCTGAAGCCGCTCATCAACACGTTTATTAAGCGGAAACGGTTCCGGGTGGAGACCTTGAACGTAGTCATGTATTCTCTGCCGGTTCCATGTTGGGCCGCATCCATAGACCTGCGTACCTTCATATTCCAATACACGAGCAGGACCGCAAATTCCTTCGCTTTGATTATTGTAGCCAAATCTACGAGTTCCAGGCTCTCCCTTTCGGCCTTTCCACTTCTCGAAGGGTTTTTACCCGAGTCGCCAAGACACTCGCTGCTCACCTGCCCCAGCGAGACATGCTCATCTTTCAATATCTAGATGACTGGTTGATCGTCGGCCGCTCCCTCAACTAGGCCACGGCTTCCACCTCCCTCACTCTCGACATCACCGTACGTCTGGGGTTTCTCATCAACTACAAGTCCAATCTCACCTCATAACTAAGGCCAAAATACCTTGGGGCTGTTCTTGACCTCCGCAAAGGTGTTGTGACTCCGACGCCGGAGCGCATCCTCCTTCGCGACTGCCTCTTCCAGTTCTTTACGGCCCAGGCTCCCCAGGCATTGGCCTGGCTCCGTCTACTCGGCTTGATGGCCAGCCTGGTCGATCTCATTCCTTGGTGTCGACTACGGATGCGACCACTTCAACTACATCTCCTGTCTCAGTATCATCCCAAGAGCAACCCAATTACTGCTCAAGTATCTCTTCCACCTAATATACGCAGTCACCTTCCTTGGTGGACTATCACCAAGCGTTTGACGGCCGGCCTGCCCATTGTCCCCCCTTGGGCCCAGACGTGATGGTGACGACGGATGCGTCGCTATTCAGATGGGGAGCCTCTCTGCCTCCACTCCATGCCTCCGGGGCTTGGGACTCCGCCTCTAGGGACAAGCGCATCAATGTGTTGGAACTCCAAGCGGTGTTCAACACTCTTCGCCGCTTTCGTCAACACCTAGTAGGTCGCTACATCCGAGTTCAGAGCGGTAACTCCACGGCAGAGGCGTACATCAATCATCAAGGCAATACTCGCTCTCCCCAACTCTGCACCCTTGTGTGGCAGCTCTTCATGTGGACGATCGATCAAGGCGTTACCCTTCAAGCCATCCTCATAGCGGGAACCAGCAACAACATGGCCGACGCACCTTCTTGGGGTGCCGTCAGACCGACGGAGTGGACCCTTCATCCGAATGTGGTCAGCCATATCTTCACGGAGGTTGAACGTCCTCCTATCGATCTCTTTGCATCCGCTGACAAGGCCTATCTCCTGACTTTCTGTTCCAGGTTTCCTCACCCGCAGGGGTGGGCGACTGACGCCCTACCGATCGACTGGATGGGCCTTCTGGCTTGTGCCTTTCCCCCAATCTCCCTCATTCCGCAGGTCCTGTGCAAGATAGAATGGGAGCCATGTCGAATCCTCCTCGTCGCCCCATTCTGGCCTCACCAACTGTGGTTTCCAAGACTGACAAGAGTCCTGGTACGGCGACCGATAATCCTTCCGGTCAGAGAGGACATCCTCCGTCAGCCTGGATTAGGGATCCTTCAACCAGCATCGGAGGGTCTTCACTCGACGTGTTGGACGTTGTTCAATGATCTGTCAGAGCATCGGGCCTTTCTGCAGATGCTGCGTCCATGATGGCGCGGGGTCGACGACTATCCACCTGCAAGATTTACAACACCCGACTACAAAATTTTACTAGATGGTGTGATGACCACAATGTTTCTCCGGCTGAAGCTCCTGTGAGTTCCGCCGTAGACTTCCTCATGTACCTGTTTCACTCGGGCCTCGAGGTTGCCACCATCCGCAATTACCGGTCGGCCTTGGCGGTTGTACACACGGGCCTCAGCAATGGGTGGACTGTCTCTGACAACGTTGCTATCAACCATCTTCTTTAAGGAATGTTTATCGAGTGCCCCCATGTCAGACGCGTCTTATCCTGGGAACTTGACGTTCTTGGTGGTCCCCCCTTTGAGCCGTTAGCTGACGCCTCTGACCTCCATCTCAGTATCAAGCTGGCATTCCTCCTGGCGGTCGTCCCATCGAGACGGGGTAGCGAGCTGCGTGCCCTATCGACTTCTGATAGCCACATCCGCTGGGAGCCTCACGGAGTTCGTCTCATCCCATCCATCGGGTTCCTCACTAAAAACAAGACGCCTACCTTCCCAGGCCCACTTCCCAACATAGTCGTCCCTGATATAACCTCACTCGCGGGAGACGATTCTGACAAGAAATGGTGCCTGGTTCGGACTCTCAAGTGGTACCTTGCCAGGACCAACCGTCACCGGGAATATGATTTTCAGCTCTTCATAACCACAACGAAGCCCTTCCAACCAGCATCTAAGGACACTATCGCCCGATGGATGGTCTCAGCTATTCAGGACTGGCCGGCTCAGCATGATGAGATGGCTAGGGCGTACGTCACGGCTCATGGTGTTCGGGCTGCTTCTACATCCTGGTCATACTAGCCAAAATCTGCCAGTCAGCTTGTTGGAAATCTCCTTCCACCTTCACCGAATGCTACCTAAAGGATGTCCTGCAGTGCGAGACCACTAATGGCAGAGCGACCCTCCGCTTGGTAGTCCACACAACATGTTCTGCTCCGGGCCAGAAGGCTTATAGCTAGCCTAAGTAGGGTCTCTAGGTCAGAGTCCGCTCTTGCGAAACCCGCCTTATGTTCTTTAGGTATTATACTCCTGTCGCCGATCCACCTTCAGGGTACGGTGCCACTCTGCATATGTAGGCTAGGCAGGGGTATGTGACGGGAACTCCTTCCCCACGTGGAGTGGGTCGACCTCTTAGTGATATTTACCCCTGCCCAGCCGCAGCCCCATCCTTCCCCACTTTGGCTCCGGTGATCTTACCGCTTCGAAAAGAAGGACGAACTTGGTGGCGGGACCGCATTGCATTGTGAAGGGTCAAGAGGCACAATACATAATCAAGTCATTTCAGCAAATTGTAATGGGCACTTGGGAAATTTGCATATGTAGGGTGGGCACGGGTAAGTGTCGCTAGGAGACCCGACCCACTCTCCGAGGGGAAGGATTACTATACACCTTAAAGCCATGGTGGGGCTTCAAAACTTTTCGTGTTTGTTCATGGATGTTCATTTTCCTCCAATCTCCGCCCTAGTGTCCTCCAATCTCAGCCCTAGTGTATGGTGTTATAAATTTGTGTCGATGAAGGAAAAATGTCAAGTACATGTGTACAACTGTGTATATTTCAATGCATTCTTTGAAACGCAGTCTTCCAAAGACATCTTTTTCAGTATGCCTTGCATTTCAGTTGAATGATAATGAAGCTCAATAGGAATGGTTAATAGAGGAGAGACTTGGTGTTAGTTTGACTTTGCATGTGTAGTTATGTAGAAGTCAAACAGTCATCATGAAAGACAGAGAGAGTCTGTTGAATGTTACAAAATATTACATTAAAGGAGTTAATTCCCTTGTATGATACATAACACTGCTGAAAGAAGCACCAGCTAGAAAAACGGATCCACACATACTGCCTGCCTTTCCATTTTCTGTTTCTCTAAATCTTCATTTTCTAGCCCCGGACTAATGTCAATTTCTCTTTCAATAAAATAAACTCCCTCGTCCTTATCTCTTAATATATTAAGTGCAAAATACATTTTTTGTCCAGCACTAATGGTTTTGAAGTTTTTGTGTGCATATTATTTGACAATGTTTTCTCATCAACTTGCAGCAGTGCACCAGATGCTCTTTATGGTCATGTCCAAAGATTGTGTAGCGCTCCGTAGTGGTGCAAGATGGAGAACTTGGCCAAAAGGTGTTACCACCACCTTGGGTGCCATTCGAGTGTGAATCTTAATGCATAGATGCAGGTATACCGGGTGTGGGTGCCTATCGCGGTGCCTGCGCCTGTTGCATTAGCATAGCATACTCACACCCAAATGATGGGTGAAGGTCTCCATCTTGCGCCGCTGCGTGGTGCTATACAGCCTTTGGTCATACCCTGCCTGAATAATTCTTTCTTCCAACACATGCATTGATCTCGTAGATACCTCTGATGATATGCCAGTTTCGAATTTGTTGTTCCCCGACCAGCAACGCTGGCATGGGTATTACCATGCCCATCCCTGGCTACACACAGCCGTGGCAGCAGTTTGTTACCCAGGATTTGCACGATCACCTTGTCTTTAAATTGTAAGTAAAATCCTTGATTCTTCCACCTTAATTGGCACCGCATTTGAAATTGCGAATGTGCACTGATTTGATTTCAGAATGTTTTCTTTAACTTTTCGGAATAAAAATTGCCAAAAACACATTAATTAAGCATTTTATGCAAACGATTGCTGAAAATTATATGATGTGGGTATTCAAGAATAATGATTTCTCTCCCAGAGTTCAAGCAGTATTTCCATCACCTGACCCAAAGCCATGAAGGACAAGGGAATGGGAAAAGTAGTAGCCTCTGCCCAAAGAATGGGAAAGGACATGTATGAGCGAGCCAGCAGTAGGGTAAGTGATGTACAGTCTTTTTTGTGTCAGGAATTCATACCTTTTTATGGATAATCAAACAACCAGGGCTGTGCTGGATATTCAAATTGTTGATCAGTCATTAAATACTTGAATATTTGTTTTCAAAATCAAATATTCATAGGTAGAAATCAGTAAAATAAAAAGGGGAAGTAATGAAATCATTAAGGTACAAAATTGCATAAAACAGGCATCTCCATTGTAACACACCTCTTGCTGGCTATTTATCCCGATTGGTTGAAATGTAGTCAGATGTGTATAGGTCAGTACATGAATCTTGCATCGGCGTGAATCATGCACCAAGACATTGTGCACATGTAAATTCCAGAGACTGCCTGGCTGGGCACTAGTACTTCAGAGTTTCCACTGTGGAGCCTCACATGAGCAGAACATTGAAGAACAACTCTAAAACACTCAATGGAAAATAAAAGTGTTGCTGTAATTATTGAATTGCTTGTTGAATCGCCGAAATGTATGGTTGGATTAAAAGAGTTTCACAGTTTCTTGTCCTTTTTTACATATAAAGCTTGTGGCCTCAGAAGAAAGAACCCTCTTCTGATCCCTCATAGTCCCTCAATGTGCATAAAAGTGCTCTGACTTCATTGCTAGTGTAAACTACATGTACTACTCTTAGAGAACTGCAGGTGTTTGCCAAGTCTCTCATCAGAGTCTTTCCACTAATGGTTCGTGTACAGATTAGGGGCCACTCAAAATTTTCAATGTTATTTAAATTTCGATTTAAAAAAAATTTTGGCCACCCACCCACCCCCATTTTGATTAAAAAAAAATTGAATTTTCATCCAGTACGTGTACATTATACATGCATTTGATATAAATTCATATACATGTAAAAATCTATAATGCAACACAGTGTGACAAGATGATGGGTGGAATTGCAATAAATGATTGCTATCGATCGCGCACGCAACAGCATGCCTTGTCCAATCTGCTCAAAAATGGACCTCCCGAGGTACTTCTATGCCTACTGTCAATTACTGCGTCTCCATGCACATGCACATGTATTTCTATTGGAATGGAGATGTAGACCTAGCTCTAGCCAACAGATTTGGATGCAGTTTGCTGCTGTCTAGTTAGTCTTAGATTCAAGGTGATCAACATTTCACCGTTATTAACTGGTGTTCAACATTCACTGTTTGTACCAGTAGGTTTATATAATACGTCTGCTGCCCTGCTACATTCGTGTTTGATGTGTTTAATCACCGCTGCAAGCACCCGGCTTCCAAGTGTAAGAGTAAACACCAGCTCCTCCAATGATGTTTTACACTTGCTTAATAATGTTCAGGAAAGGTCAACCTGTCTGTATATGGAAACAAAGTTGAAAAAGATTGCATTTTTGGAATGCTGGTGTTTTGGAGCTATATATGCGTGGTGTGCACGCTAGGCCTACACGTATTTCATGCAAGTCAGGAAAAACACTTTTTTCTCGATTTTAATGTAAAATGTAAATTTCGTTTTTTCATGAATTTCCTTGCTTGACCCAGACACTATTTAAAGAAAAAAAAGTCGAAAAGTCGAAAAAAAAGCACTGAAATTTTGAGTGGCCCCTTAGGAAGACCAGTGTCCATTGCGGAAAAACCACCCGGAAAACCAATCACCCTTGCTTACTTTTTAATTCACTCATTTGTTTTTTACTGCCTGGTCTTGTCACAGGAGGAGTACTATCACCTCTTGGCTGAGAAGATCTACAAGATCCAGAAGGAGCTGCAGGAGACAGCAGGCACTGACGCAGGAGACAGGACGTACTGACGCAGGAAACAGCAGGCACTGTGACGCATGAGACACCAGCCACTGATGCTGCTGTTGGTGGCATCTCCATGATGGCAGCAGAGCTGCTGCCCCAGCCACAGCCTCCCCACTAACTGCCTAGACCAGTATGTCCACTGGGAAAATGTAGCTCTTTCAACCAACTTATTTCAGAATTATGCTGTACATAACTATATGTTCTCGAAGGTTTATTTTGGCATCGGTGTTGCTTTGGCTCAGCAGTGAAAAGTGGACTGGTAGAATGGGGCGTCAGGTTGGCATAGTGACACTCTTATGTTGTGAATGTGAGTTTTATGTTTTGAAACAAATTCCATATCTCGGTATGTGGTACGAAGATGTCAGCTGTACTCATGTTCAGTAAATGTAACTAACTCAAGCTTAAAATTGTATTTCTAAAAAGAGCTTCACTCATTAGGTGCTTCTGGAAAATTTGAATCTCTTTTTTCTGAACACAACTGTCCTTGCTTATTGTCTTTATCAGGACTTGAACAAAGCTTTTGCCGCAAATAGATTAGATTGCTACTTTGATAGACAAACTAACAGATATTTACATGTCTGTACATAGGGTCTGCTGCTCACCTAAGAGAAAACAAATGAAATGGGAAGGGGGAGGTTCAACAGCAACTCTTAAACTTGAAGGTCCCTTTTCCTTGAATGTCTGTATTTAAACAAGATATGTTCTTGTTTTATTTTTCTAAATCCACTTTGTATGTAACCGTGATCTGACCATCTGTATACACAGGTAGGCCTACAAGCTAATGGTTTCAAACCTCAAGCATACCTCGACTCGATCAACTCGACTGACATTTAAACCTGTCAGTGCTCTGTTTGCACACACAAAGTCTGAGAAGTCTGGGGAGGCACACTGTGCGTTGAATTTGAACTTTGAGGCCATTTGAGGCCATTCATATATGGCCCTGTTGTAGTATATGGGCATGCCCCACATTGTTGAAGAGTATGAGGTTTTTGTAAGAAACGTGGTACAAATACTCTTCAAATGACTGGTGTAAATCAGCATTTTTGGTATTTGTCTGTGTTAGTGGCCATATCTTACCTTTTTCAAGAGCTGAAATTTTTGGCCAAATATACCCACCTTCAAGTGGACAAAAGGAAAGGTGTGGAAAATTTTAGAAGTAAATTGCTATTCAGGTTTCTTCATTTCCACTTGCTTGATTTTTTTCACAAACAGAAGATTCACCATTCGATTTGCCATACTTGGTCTTGAAAGTCACAGATTTGAGTCTTAAGATGGCAACAACTTGCAATAGAAGAATAAAATAGAAAGTTTAAGGCTGTAGTACTGAACAGGTCCAGTCTCCCTCAGGAAACTTTTAAGTGCCTTTGGTTTATGCATTTTGTATTCCAAAATGGTCCATCAATTCAATATGGGCTTGTTTATGTGTCAGGCTTGGGTAAAATAAATACAAGCCCTTTGCCTTTTAGATTTTGGAGAAATATGAATTAGAGAGTACAGATTTGATATTGTGTAACCTGTTCAACTTCACTCAATGTTAATACATTTGAGACAAATCTAGGGATTTTGTATGCAAAAAATGATTTTGAATTCTAGATGAGTATTCCATGTACTTTTTGTAACTCCTGTAATCAGTGTAATAGTTGGAGGATTTTAATTGAATGAAATAAAATATGTGGCCCGAGACATTAATGACATGTCCATGATTTGAACTGCACTTTATTACTTCTTTTTTGCAACTTCTGGTCCTCTTAAGTTACTGGTATTTATGTAAGAAACCTGGAAGTTATGCCTTATGGATTACTCTCATTGAAAAGTGCTCTGGAAATTTAAGAAGCCATTCAAGGAAAAGGATTTAATGAGGACACCCCAAGGAATATGATGGGGGAGGGCACTACATTCATCAGCATTAAACAAAAAAAATAAATAATTTAGAAGGGTGTTAACGCTGAGGTATTTTCAAGCAATTTAATTTGATTTCATTTACTCTCTTTTCCCTAATATCAAAGCTGTGAAATAGAAACAAAAAAGAAAGAGGGCTCTCTGATTTGGAAAAATGTTCAAAGAAACCCTGGTCAATGGCAAAATTAGGGATAACGCAAAACACTTTCAAAACAGCGGTTCCAAATCCCATTTGCGATTTTCACCAACTTTTTTTTCTTTCCCCGGAGGAGATGGGGATCCCCCTCCCTCTTGTAACATGTGCACATGCACGAACTTGAGAGCGCGCCTCTTGTGCTACTTGACCTCCAAGTCACTGCGCTGTGTACATGTGCGTCGTGTGTAGTGACTTGGACCATAGACTTGGAGGAGAAAATGCTTGGACTGGACGTTCTTGAAGTTCAAGTAGTTTAGTTGGCGCGGCGCAACTACTGGCCTTGTCCTATTGAGGGCGCTGTACGTAATTATGTCCCGCGATGATTATGCTGCGTTCGAAGTTTTACTGTACTTCTCATGTTAAAAACTTCACGATTTTCACCACAAAAAGGACGTCATTGGTGAAACGTGGGACGTCCTATGGTACCATATTTCCACATAAACAACTCAAAAGATGGTCAATTGATGCAGGTACGTTAAAACCACTTTTTGTTTTCAGGCCTTGCTAACGTTTTGACACAGTATGTTGCACTTTGCCTAGTCGGTG